AATCAGCTCGTCGCGGGTCGTGTAGTGGGGGTTCCGTCCTTACGGTTGCCCGCCACCACAAGCTTCCGCACACGCGTGTGCATCTCCGCCTGCAGCACGTCAATCTGCGCCTGCAGCTCACGGGCCGGGGCGTCCGTCGCCACGGCAGCCGCCATTGTTCCTCTGGGGCGTATCGATAATGAACCGTCGCCGCACTTCGTCCGTATTACCCTACCGCTGCCTCCGCCGCCGCGTGCGCCGTCCTTCTTACTTTCCCTTCTTCCGTGTGGATGGGTGTGCGGGCGCCGCGCAATCAGGGACAGGGAGAGGAGAAACGAGGGCAAGACACACGCGCACACACATGCGGCCAGACAGACACGCAGAGGGAGAGGCACACGAGTAAACCCCCCTCTGCCCGCACGTACGCCCTCCGCTCGGAGGAGGGCAAATCGCCGCAGCAGCGGCAGAGGCACCGACACGTACAAATGGAGAGAAAAAAACGCAAAACAGGGCACCGGCAGCTGCAACACATATAATTATATATAAATGTATAACAAAAGCAAAGAAGAACCCATTTTAAAAAATGTTATAAACGTATAGAGTGTGCCGCCAAGGCACCGAAAGCAAGCAACGCCACTGAAAAACGTTCCTCAAGGCCACACACACACACGCACACACACGAGCGCGGCACACAGGATAGACGCAAGTGCACATAAATGCACACGTATGGGAAAAGCCCGGGGCAACGCACATAAAACGCACGCCTGCGAAACTGGGCGTGTGCTTGCAACTTCTTGCCTGCAAAGAGGGCGAGGGAGAGAAGCAGCAGCAGCAGCAGCAGGGCCCTTGTGTCGGCCAGGGGCACGTAAACGACTCGCACTACTTCCCCGCCCCCAAGCCACGCAGAAAAAGGGGACATACTACACGCACGCACATGCCAACATGAAATAGAACCAAAAAACAAAGCACTGCAAAACCACAAAGAAAAAAACAAAAACAAACAAACACCGTAAGCATCCCATTCACTTAAAACTAGGTAAGGGGCGGAGGAGCCGAGCAGCCCGTCCTTTCACCCGCCTCACAAAATAGGAAAAAGAAAAAACAAGGACTTCGATGTGTTCAAAAAAAAATTACTGTGGCGAGTGAACTAGGAACAACAGTTGCTGCTCCTTTGCGTGTGTTGTCGCCTGTACTCCTCGGAGAGGGGGAGGGCGTCCATCCTCACCTTGAAGCCATTCACGCGGCCCTCGATGAACATCTCCGTCTCGCACGGGTACACGACGACGTTCGCCAGGTACTCGCCCGAGTCCAGCTTCTCCAGGTGCGTCTTGCCGAGGGCCTTGATGTCGCAGTCCTCGCCGAAGGTCACCTTCACGTGCATCTCGTACTCGGTGGTGTCGTTGTAGTACGCCCACTGCTTCTTCTTGTTGTTCACGATGCGGAAGAGGAGGCCGTTGCCCTCGTTGAACCCCTTCACCACCTCGTCGCCCTTGAACGTCGGCTTCCCGTTCGCGTACGCCACGGCGGGAGACTTCGAGGCGCCGCAGCCCATAGTCGACCAAAAGTTGCGGGGTGGGTGCGGGGTGAAATTCGCTTCTTCTTGCTGGTTGCTGTGCGCGGCAGCGTGCGTGCTGGCGCGGCATTAGGGGCGGGGGAGGCAGAAAAGGGAAGGAAAAGCATATAGGCAGGCACACACGCATATATGCGGGTCTGCGCGCACGTGCGTGCGGACCGAGGAAACTCGGCGAAAGAGGACACCCACGCATGCACACATGCGGAGGTGTGCACACGGCGGTGCGCCGTCCCATCACAAGAAAAACAAGACAATAAATAAAACAACTGGAGGCTCCTTCCCCCTCCCCTCCCCCGCATGCGGTAAAAGACGGAAATATCTTCTGGGCCCACTCTACGCACATGCACGCACGGTCAGGTGGGCAGAAATGACCGTGTTGCCGTTATAGCTGGAGGGGAGAAAGGCGGGGAGAGCAGGGGCGCAGCCTTTTCCTTACATTTTCCCTCACTCTCCTCCCAAAAAGCGGGAAGGGGAGGGAGAACAGGTCGGCTGCACACACACACACACAGAGAGAGAAATACATACGCATGCCGGCTCCCAAATCTTTCCCCGGCTACTTTGCCGGCACATCCCCCGCTCGGCTGCCGCTCCCCCGCCCCTCCGCCCCCCCGCCTTCCACTTCTTCGTCCTCTCGGCCACACCCTGCGGCCCTCGCCCTTCTTCCCCTCGCCTGGCGCCCGCCGCTCCTCTCGCCCGCCCCGGCCAGCTCACACAAAGTACGGGGTGCGGCCCAACGCCCCTCCCGCACCCCACTTGAAAATCAACGGGAAGGTGGGCAGACGGGCGCGTGGGCAAGCCAATGGGAGCAAGACCGCGTCCACACACTTGGACCCGCAAACAAACACACAGATACATATGTGCACGTGCGCGTGTCCGCCTCGGGCAGGCCGAGTTCTAAATTGCGGCGGCAGCGTAACGGAGCTCTCCTCTCCTGCGCAGCCAGCCCACCCGCCCGCCACTCCGCCGCAGGGCACGCATGTGCGCACGCCAAAAGAACACGCGCACCGCGCACTTCCGCGGGCAGCAAACACAGGGAAGTAAAAAGGGGTGGAGGAGGGGCGGCGGCCGACGGTTGAGGTGTGTGCGCGTGCGTGTGCATGCGCGCGTGCCCAGCACCATTTCCTACTCACCAAGCCCTCACCACGCAAACACGGCGGTGCCCACCATGTTATCGGCGTTCAACACTCGTCGCGAGGGACGCAAGGTGACAGCACCGTCGTCGGCAATGCACACGCACACACAGAGAGAGGGACAAAAAAACATGTCAAATATCACTTGAGATAACAAAAACATAAAAACAAATAAATACACGAGACAAACCGTGACGCAAAGCCATGGGGGAAACCCATAGGCAGCGGCCAGCACGGGGGAAGGCGAAAAAGTGGGTGAATAGCATAAACAAACAAAAAGGCGGAGCAAGGGAGCAGAAAGCAAACCAAAAAGCACACACACCAAGAAAATGGGGGCATCAGAAAGGCAGAATACAACAGAACAATTTTTAAAACCCAATACATCGACGGCGCCGCATACACTGCCCTCAGACAAGGGGCCCCCTCATTTCCTCCACATCCACACACACCACACGTACTATTTCTTCTGCTTGTTTTTTTTCGTTTTTTGCTCCCCATTTGCCCTTCGCCCCTCTTCTTTCTTCATGCGACTCTAATCCCTCCCCCGTGCGGCTTCGCGTGCGCCGTCCTTCACTCACTTCTTCCCCGCGGACTCCTTCTGGCGCTTGTACTCCTCGGAGAGGGGGAGGGCGTCCATCTTCACCTTGAAGCCATTCACGCGGCCCTCGATGAACATCTCCGTCTCGCACGGGTACACGACGACGTTCGCCAGGTACTCGCCCGAGTCCAGCTTCTCCAGGTGCGTCTTGCCGAGGGCCTTGATGTCGCAGTCCTCGCCGAAGGTCACCTTCACGTGCATCTCGTACTCGGTGGTGTCGTTGTAGTACGCCCACTGCTTCTTCTTGTTGTTCACGATGCGGAAGAGGAGGCCGTTGCCCTCGTCGAACCCCTTCACCACCTCGTCGCCCTTGAACGTCGGCTTCCCGTTCGCGTACGCCACGGCGGGAGACTTCGAGGCGCCGCAGCCCATGGTCGACCAAAAGTTGCGGGGTGGGTGCGGGGTGAAATTCGCTTCTTCTTGCTGGTTGCTGTGCGCGGCAGCGTGCGTGCTGGCGCGGCATTAGGGGCGGGGGAGGCAGAAAAGGGAAGGGAAATTGGGGGCATAAATGGCCGGGCAACACGAACAACAAGTTTAAGGGGCGCAACGGCGCCGACGCCTCGCCCAGGTCGCCCACCGTGCGTGGACGGTGGAAGGCGACGACGGCGGGTGGGGGAAAAAGTGGATATCGCCACCATTTACAACAGCGTAATGAGAGGGAGGAAGTAAAAGATCCAAAGAACATTACTGCATTGCGACATCTGTGGAGAAACCATTAATGGCGATGCGGTAGGCAACCATGTGCCCCTCCACCGCAAGAGCCGTTTCGGTGGGGCCCACGACAAGTTTTGCCACCGCGCCGCCACCGTCAACCTCATCCTCCCTCCCCTCATCCAGCCACACGAGCGTGGTGGTGCCCAGCGGCGCCAGCAGCTCGCGCCTCTGCTCCGGATGCGGGTAAAAGCGAATTGATACATGGAACTGTATGTCTTCTGTGTCATTATAGAAGGCCCACACTTCATACGGGGGGCGGGGGACCACAATTCTGTAGAGGAGCACAATGTCGTCCTGCGCAAGCGGTGCCTCCCCCTGCCTCCACGCGGCGGCGGTGCAGTCGCTGCGCCACAGCGCGGGCAGCACCTCGCCGCCAGACACGGCGGGCCGGCCGCAGCGGTAGGAAGGGGCGGCAGCGGAGGCGCCGTGCCGGCCCGTCCCGCCACGCCGGCCCTCACTGAGTTGGCTGCGCCTCCCCGCGGGGGACCCTTCCCCCGTGCCTCCCCCGCCCTCCCCGGGGGGCGGCCTCCGCCGCGGGGCACCGCCCCCAGCGGCTGCGGAAGACGCGCCACCCATCGCCGCCCGCGCTTGTTTGCTGCGTCGACCCGCCTTCGCCCACCCCGACCCCCAAAGCGCGCCCGGAACAAAAACAGCGAACAACTCAGGAGAAAGCGGAAAAACAAACACCCACGCATTGCCTTTCCCGCTCCCCCGGCAAACTCTCCCCGCATGCAATGCACGCGCAGCTGCGGGAAGGGGCAGGAACTGAGCCAGCCGCGCCGAGGTACCCATTGCCGCGACAAACGGCGCGGGACACGAGGGCGCAGGCACTAGGCCACCCACCACAGCAACAAAAACAACGACTCTTTCCCTCTCCGACTTCCCGCCTTCGCAGCTCGTGGCACCCGCTGCATGCACCTTGCGACCACCATCACACGCACACACACACACACACCTCTGCCTCCTCCCTCACGGGCGCCATGTGACGCGCCCCCCGCAAGGGTGCGTGGCCGGCGCAAGCCATCGGCAAGTTTCTTCACGCGTGCGTCGGCCAGTCACGCGCAGAGGTCCAACCCCTGCTGGCAGGCGGGGGACGCCACACACCTCCACTGAGGGAAACACCACCTGGCCGCGTCGCCCCTCAGCCAGCCCTTCCCCGCCGTACAAGGACGGCGTCACTCCCACACTTGGCGCGGCGGTGGCGGCGGCCAGTCGGGCTCACGTCACACAGCGCTCATGTGCGCGTCCACCCATTTGGGGTAAAAAAAAAAGGCTTCCCTTCTTCTTCCCCTCCGTCACTTCCCCCCCCCCCCGCTGGTGGGCAAAGGGGGGCCCAGGGGAGGCACCTCGCTACGCGAGACGGCACAGAGAAGGCAGGGGAAAAAAGGCGACAATTTGAGATCCACCGAAACGGGTCCAGCGCATCGTTGGAGAAGGGGGCAGGCCCCACGCCAGCACGGCCTCAAACGCGCATAGTTAAAACCAACGCAGGTGCACAGACTCAGCGCTGCCACCGCAACGTCCATTTGAGAAGTGGCGCGGAAACAGGCACAGCAACAAAAAAAAGCGGCGGAAGAAGGGGGAGAGGGGGGACAAAAAAAACGCCTTGCTGAGTTCTTCTTTCTTCCCCTTATTTTTCCTGCTGGCGCCGCTGCTGCTTTGTTTCTTCCGCGCGGCGTGAAGGTGTGGCGGCAGAATCCATTAAACGGTCGAAATGCAAACAGACACCGCTGGCGCAGGCTGGTATTTTTATGCATGCACGTGCGCGCGAGAGTAACGAAAGACTAAAAAAAAAAGTGAACGGAGGGGAGTATGGGGGAAGGGAACAAAAAGAGCATGCGTCCCCAGCCCACGGCCTCGCCCCCCTCTCACTCGCCCACGCGGTCTCCCCGCCTTCGTGCCGTTGGTTTTCTCTTCCCTTTTCTGCCTTGCGCTGCCCCCGCGGCTGGGGCCCGCCACGCCGGAGGGGCGCTAGCGGGCCAGCACGACGGCACGCCTACTCCGTCCTCGCCCTCCGCGCCCCCGGCCCGCTGCTGCCGTCCCGCCCCTCCCCGCACTTCGCCGTGACGGCGGCGACCGGGTCGCGCCAGACGTCCTCCACCAACGCCAGCAGCAGATCCCTGCGGTCCTCCATCTCGGACTCCCAGTTCTCCACGGCGTCGGCGAGCTCGTCCTCCTCCTCCTCGTCAAACGCCTCGTCGTCCTCCGGGTGCGGCAGCATTTTGCTGAACACGTCAAGAAACTCCACCCCGCGTCGTCGACGGCGACCGCTCGCGCTTCCG